CGTTGTTCCTGAACTTGAATTGTAGCCTGGTGCTTCCCTGTTAAACCCCATAATCTGTGAGTTCTGTGTGGCCACTGCAGCGAATTATCAAACCCAGCAGAAAGGTTGTGGGTGCTGTGGGAGGAACAGTTGGTGTCAGGGTTAAAGAAAGGGCTAGAGGGAGGCAGCATGTCTGTCCTTGCAGGAATAGGCCTTGGGCTATTGATGGTGATTCTGTCTTCCTCTTGTGCAGTTAGAGGAGGTCAGAAGATGTGGCTTCCCTGACCCTTTGGTATAGTCTCATCAGGGGGAATACTACATCCAGCTGCCCAGCTACTCAACCAGGCCCAGCCAAGTTGACACACAAACTAAACTACCACAATTCCACCCCTTGTCAATTTTGCATCTGTGCAGACCTTCATTGGGTGGAATTTTTACAAATATCTCTCACTGGGTGGCTCCAGTCCCCTAGTTCCTCTAAGTGGTGACCTCACCCCCTTGGCCTGGCGGGCCCCATTCCTCTCTCTCTTGGGCATGGCAACCCTGCCCCCTCACTCTTGGGCTGCGGCTATGGCTCCATCCTACTAACCCACATGAACAAGCAGCCGCACACTCCAGAACGAAGTTAGTGAAGGCCTGGCTCTTTGAAATCTAGGGGGCTGTGGTGGTTCCACCCCAAAAGGCCATGGTCCTACCCTCTGAGGCTGAGGCAGCTCTGCTTCCATTTCCTTGGTCTCTCCGCTTCTGCCAATTAATGCTGAAGGGAACCCACTTCGCTGGAAACCCCTTCCCAAAAACCACTTGGCTTTCTTGCTCCGTGGGCCAGCCAACCTCTTGGCTCTGCTTCTGTTGTCTGTCACACCGTATGCCAGGGTATCTCTACCAGGGTCTCAGATCAAGAATGCACTCCACTCCTGTTCCCACATTTTAGGTATCTGTCAGAGCAGCACCCCACTCTCTCGGTACCATATTGTGTTAGACTGGGTTCTCTAGAGAAACAAAACCAGTAAAGTTAATATATATAGAGAAAGAGAAATTTATCTTGGGAAAATGACTCACACACTTATAGAAGTTGGTAAGTCCCAAGTTCTTGGATCAAACGTCAAGCTGGAGGCTTTTCCCAACTCACGCAGCTGCAGGGGCTGATGAGCTCAAGGTTGGCAGGCAGTATACTGGTTGTTGACTCCAACGAATGATGAATTCAAGATCTCCAGGCCGAATGGTGGGTTGTTCGCTCATGGACAGTTGTAGGCAGAATCCCAATCCACAGAAGAGTGTCTCTTTTCCCAGGATGTCCATAAATATACTGGAAGCAGGCCACACCCCTAGGAAACTCCCTTTCAATGGATTGGCAGCTCAAAACATATGCATCTGATCCCATCATTGGAACAATCACATCACAATTGCTTAAACCACACAGAATTGTGGTCCAGCCAAGTTTACACAGAACTATCACAGTTGGGCAATCTACTTCCGTAGAGATACCGTCTTGGAACCCAAGGAGGGGTCACTATGAGTCACAATCGACTCAACGACATTGAGTTTGGTTTGGGTTGGTTAGAAATAATTTTATGCTAATTTCTTGCCTGAGGGGTTTCCACATCAAGTAACTAGTTGCCGCAGAGTCAACTCCAACTCATGGTGACCCCATGTGTGTCAAAATAGAACTGTGCTTCATAGAGTTTCAGTAGCTGATTTTTTGGAAGTAGATCTCCAAGTCTTTCTTCCAAGGTGCCTTTGGATGGACTCAAACATCTGAGTACATTAACCATTTGCATTACGCAGGGACTCCTACCACACCAAGTAAGTAATATCAAACCTACCTGAGATACAGACCTGTGGTTGTAAGTTCTCAAGGAAGATTCTCTCTACCACAACCCACAACTTAATACCTAGAGGCCAGAATGTCATCTCCCTTTGTTGGTGAGCAGTTTTTGACTTTTTTTTTTTTTTTAGTTCATCCTATTACTTAAAAAACTCAAAACCCATTGCCATCAAGTTAATTCCAATTCATAGCAATCTTACAGTACAGAGTAGAACTTCTCTATAGGGTCTCTAATCTCTACAGAGGCAAACTGGCACATCTTCCTCCCTTACGGCTGCTGATGAATTCAAACTACTGACCTTTCACTTAACAGCCATGCACTCAACTACTGTACCACCAGGGCTCCAGTCCATAGACATTTGTTGTTGTTGTTGTTATGTGCCGTTGAGTCGGCCCTGATTCATAGCAACCCCTCCTTGGGTTGCCGAGGCAGTATCACTACAGAAGTAGATTGCCCAGTCTTCCTTCCGAGGAGAGGCTGGTGGGTTTGAACCGCCAGTCTTCTGGTTAGCAGTCAAGAGCCTTAGGCACTATGCTACCAGAGCTCCATAGACATGTTGTTGTTCTTGTTATGTGCCGTCGAGCCGCCCCGACTCATAGCGACCCCTCCTTGGGTTTTCAAGGCAGTATCACTATGGAAGTAGATTGCCCGACCTTCCTTCCGAGAAGTAGCTGGTGGGTTTGAACCACCAGCCTTCTGGTTAGCAGTCAAGTGCCCATAGACATAGTGCAATTAATTAATTTAACACACACTCAAGCTGGTGATTACTATATCTAAAAACAGAAATCACTATTTTCAATAAAGAAGAGTATTTGTTACATGAATACTGACCACCAAAATAATCCGTGTGTGCTCCTTTTTCAGAATACTGATAACTTCATCTTCCTCCAGTAACTGAATGAAGTCAAATTCAATAACCTAAAATACAAACGTAGGTTTTAACACTTAAAAAAAATAATAACCAGTGAAGGCAAATGTGGGTATACAGGCGGATAGATGGGTGGACAGGCTAAATGGTATGTCTATGAAATGGGGAGTGTATCCAAGAACATGTATAAGATTGGCAGACAATGTCCTATAAGTTCATGTAAATGATCAGAATTCCCAGGTGTATAGTAGAGCTGACAAGAGTCAAGGTTGTGGTCACCGCTTGGTCACAGCCAGCTACCCAGAGGGACCGAGTAGTTGAACCTGTCTGTGGGCTCGGGACCATAGTCGCATGGGACATCAAGCTCAATTGGCATAACATACTATACAAAACATTGTTCCACCTCCTACTTTGGTGAGTAGTGACTGGGATCTTAAAAGCTAGCAAGCTGCCATCTAGATGCAATAATGGGTCTCTCCTCGTTCAGAGCAAAGAAGAATGAAGAAAATCAAAAATTCATGGAAACAATTAGTCCTAGTGACTGGTACACCATCCTATCTCCAGCCTATACGATTTTGAGACCAGAAGAACTAGATGGTGCCTGGCTACCACTGTCATGCACTTGGAAGGGGATCTGTGTAGGAGATCCTTGATAGAGAGGGAGAACAATGTGGAACAAAACTCAAAATCATTTGGAGGAAAAAAAAAAAGGGGTAGGGACAAGGTTTGCTGGTCTGATAGAGCCTGGTGAAACCGCTGAGAGTATGGCCCTTACCTGCCCTTCAGGTCTGGAATTGAACCCACACCTGTGGTTTCCAGCCAAACAAAAGACAGACATATGACTTGAACATTTACCTGAGGTAAATACACTCCTTGGAGAGAACAATAATGGGAGAAAGAAGGGCTGCTTATGCACAGGGAGACAGCTCAGGGGGCAGGAGTGCATGGAGGGATGGACACAGGGAAGAGGTAAGCATGGGGAGGAAGTGGGAGAGGAGCTGTTGCATTGTGGTAAATTGTCAACGTCATGAGACAAAGTGTATGTGAACTGCTGTATGGAAAGTGAATTTGCTCTGTAAATTTTCACCCAAATCACAATAAAATAATAAAATAATAACATTTCTTCTTTGCTGCTTCTCCTGAATATAGGCATGCCTCATTTCATTGTGCTTCACTTTATTGCATCCACAGATACTGATTTTCTTACACATTGAAGGTTGTGGCAACGCTGCCTGGAGCAAGTCTATTGGCACCATCTTTCCAACCAACGTGTGCTAACTTTGCATCTGTGTGTCACATTTTGGTAATTCTCATACTAGTTCAAAATTTTTCATAATGCTATTACACACTTAATAGACTACAGTATAGTGTAAACATAACTTTTGTATGCACTGAGAACCAAAAAAAAATTGTGACTTGCTTTATTGTGCTATTCGCTTTATTGCAGTGGTCTGGAACTGAATCCTCCGAGATATGCGGGTACTGTATACGTTAGTATGCATATAGTTAGAGTTTGTGGTCAATTCAAGCACTGTTGAACTCTTATGTGTTAAGAAACATTTAGTGGAGCACGTGGCAAGTAGGTTCTACTGTAATATTAAAGTAAAAGCCCAGAGAAGCAAACAGATCTTACTAGTTGTCCCCAGATCACTAGAATCTGAAAGTGGAACGACTTCCATATAGTAGGTGGTAAACAATGAACTAATGGGTGGATTGAGGAGTGAATGTTTCATTAGAAGCAATCTTAGAAAGAAACAAGATTGTCCAGGCCCCTCCACAGGGCCCAAGTTTTGGGGGTCCAAAGGTTCCAACTTAGCCAGGGGCCAGGCCCTGAACCCGCGCCGAATTTGTTCTCACTCCAGTGGGGCCTCATTCGTTGCTCCGCCCCTTTAGAGCGGAGCCGCTTTGCCTACGACTCTTTTATTCCGGCCTGAGCAAGTACTGGGCTCAGACTCAAACCGCCGGGCTACAGAGGTCCTGTAAATTCTCGGTCAAGCTACAGAAGATCCATGTATCAAGACCTCGAGAAACACCAGAACGACAGGTGGTGTCGAACCACCATATGACAAACCCGCCTGCGGGGAATCCTTCCGGGGCAGGGGGCGGGGCCGCCGGAAGTGACCGGAAGCCGCTACTGCTTGTTGTGTCGCCGGTACTGCTGGTTGTTTGAGAGGCTGACGGGAAGGAGAAGCCCGAGCTCCGGCTGTGCTGCAGAGCCGGAGTCACAACTGGAGCCCGACCCGCCGCTAGCCTCTGGAATACCCAGAAGCGAGGACTAACGGCTGCTGAGCGACGGGCCGGACGCCCGCTCGCCTTCTTATCTCACCATGTCGCGGGGGTCCATCGAGATTCCCCTCCGGGACACTGACGAGGTAAGTGTCGAATATGGATGGGGGGGTTGGGGCCGAGAACTTGGACGATCTCCGCCCGCCCTTCCCTCACTTGCCGAGGTTTCCAAAGCGAGAGCGCTCCCCTCCCCCAGGAGCCCAGGCCGAAATCCCCAGCCAGAACTCTGGTCACCTCCTCTGCGTCCTCGCAGCCTCAGGCTACTCCGAGTTGTTTTTGAAAGTTCCCCTTCGACCTGTTCATGTTTGACTGTGCTCGACTCTTTTCCTAACTAATTCAGAAGCGCAGGGGTGTGACAGTGCCCGGTAAACAGTAAATCAATCCGGCCAGAGATTACAGAAGTGGGCGCTGATGTCACTTTGGTCTGTCTGCTGCTCAAACTAGGTACTTTTCCTGGGGATAGATAGGATTTTGCCCTTTCTACCCTGGGAACTTGAATCTGTCATTGTGCACTGTTTCCAGCGCACAGGGCACACGGCAAACTAGTCAAATGATTTGTGAAGTTTTCACAGTGAGATAGCGACCCCCACATACAGCTTAGCTGAGTATCTATGGAGAAGTTGCTTATTGTAGAAGGAATACCTTCTGGCTTCCTGACCCATTATCCGTAGGTGGCCTGTGACTTCCTCTCAGCATTGATACTAGATCTTAACTGGACAATTCCTGTTTGTTTGTTTTTTTTAAATTTTGATAGAATATTGAGATATAATTCACATTTCATGAAATTTGGTGGTTTTTAGTATAATCACAAAGTTGTATAACCAACCACCATCAGTATCTAATTCCAGAACATTTTCATGCCATTATTATTAGGGAGCTCTGTGGTTAAGGCATTGGGCTGCTGACCAAAAAATCAGCAGTTCAAACCCACCAGCTGCTCCACGGGAGAAAGATGGGACATTCAGCTTCCGTAAAGATTTACAGACTTGGAAACCCTGTGGGGGTCACTATGAGTCGGAAATGATTTGATGGCGTTGGGTTTATTCTTGATATTACTTTGTGTGTGTGTGTGTGTGTGTGTGTACCTCATTCAGGAATATCTGTGACACACAAATGCTGCTCCCCTGATTAATATGTACAGCGGCATTCATCTTTGTATTGCCTATAAGGTTGTACTTTGCAGGTTATCAGACCTACTTCATCAGAGTCTATAAGGCGCTTTTTTGCACTTTACTTGAATTGTGTGTTAAGCAGGATTTTTGTGGTGGTGTTTTGAGTAAGCAAAGTTTTTGTAGCATTTTATCATTCTAGTGATTTGGCGACACCTAGCAAGGTCTTTTTGCTTATCTGTCTTTTACTTTAATATTTGTAATATCACCATATAACCTACTTGTCATGTGCTCCATTAAACAGTTCTTAACGTGCTTAAATTGAACACAAACTCTAACTATATGCATTTTGAGATATATTCAAGAAAAGCAGCAGTCTAAGAAGAAATGCGAATTTAAAAAAAAGTTAAAACCTACATTTTGTGTTTTAGGTTATTGAACTTGACTTCGATCAGTTACCAGAGGGGGATGAAGTTATCAGTATTCTGAAACAGGAGCACACACAATTGCACATATGGATTGCTTTGGCGGTCAGTATTCACGTAACAAGTATTTTTATTTGTTGACTGGAGAAATAGTCGTTTTCCGATAAAGTAATAGCCAACTTGAGTACATGATAGATAAATTATACTATGTTTATTGAAGCTATTTGTTTTACCATTTGAGGAGCAATAAGTCCAGTTTCCTAAATGATGGGAATTCCTCTGTTAAATTGTGTGTGTGTGGGTAAAGGCAAAATTCATTTATATTAAAGAGGACTCTGTATGGAATATTGAATATTTGATTATGTAGTGGTTATTCAATGAAACTGGTTTATGGTTCATAGGTAAGTTGAGAAAATATAGGCTGTCACAATGTAAACATGACTATTTAACATTTTTCTCTTGACAGTAAAACAATTCACATAAAATACTCTAGAAAGTGAGTATGTTCCCAGGCTAACCTATAAAAGCCTTTTTGGGTGAAATTTATCTCTGGCTTAAGTTTATTGCCCTTGTTTGTTTCCTGCCCTCCATAACATGGGCATTACTGGAGATTATCGAGATAATCACCTCAGAAAGCCTAAAACACTCTCCACCCAGCACCAATTGCATGATGTTTTTATTTTCTTTGCTATATGGAAATATGTAACCATTATTTCTAAGCAAGTATGCCACAGATCATTTTCATGTAATGACACGTAGGGGGACACCTAATGTTGTCTTGAAGGGTCAAAGAAGTAGTTTTGGAATTGAGCTTATAACCAGTGCTCAGGCCTACTAAAACTTTTTTTCCTTTGGATATGGATTTATAAAGAAGTACTTTCAGTGACTGGGAGCTCTGGTAGCATAATGGCTAAGGCATTTGACTGCTAACCAGAAGGCTGGCGGTTCAAACCCACCAGCCACTCCTCGGAAGGAAGATGGGACAATCTACTTCCGTAGTGATACTGCCTCGGAAACCCAAGATAGGGTTGCTATGAGTCAAGTCCAACTCGACGGCACATAACAACAACTTTCAGTGATTAGTAGTACCTTCTTGAAGTGCTTATTCTTTCTTACTCTATGGAGAATAAGCCATTCATCCTTGTACGTTTTTTAAAACCAGAAGAGCACTTAAAATTTTCTAGGACATATGCTTCCTTTAGGAGCTCTGGTAGCGTATTGCCTAAGGCATTTGACCGCTAACCAGAAGGCCGGCAGTTCAAACCCACCAGTCACTCCTTGGAAGGTTGGGCAATCTACTTCCATAGTGATACCACCTTGGAAACCCAAGGAGGGGTCACTATGAGTCGGATACGACTCGACGGCAGCGGGTTTAGTTTGGTTTGGTTTTATGCTTCCTTTAACAGCACTTTTATGAAAATTGGAATAATGGAGGATTAGCGTGGCCCCTCTATGCCAGTATAAGTTGTCACAGAGGAAAGACTCTAGGCTTTGGAATTAGAAAGACCTTTGTTCAAATCCCAGCTCAGCTGCTAACCAGCTTTATGATCTGAGACAAATGATTTGCCCCTGAGTTTCTTTGTCTTCAATATGAGGATGTTAGTACCTACTTCGTGGGGTGGTTGTATAGATTAGAGATATTGTATGTGATTCTCCTAGCATAGTATATAGCCTATATTAGGTGATCAATAAACGATAGATACTTTTTATTATTTATAAATAAAACAGAAGTTATTTAACATGCCCAAGTCACAGATAATTTTTGGTAAATTTATAACCAAAACCCAAGTTTTCTATCTAGAATTGTTTATATTTTCCATTATTGCTTTCTCGGGCTTTGCTTGTTTGAAAAATTTAGTTTGAAATCAGCTATTGCTAGGTAAGAAGTAAGTTGGAAGCGTTTGTAGGTGATTGTTATTTTTTTAAACAACTTTATTAAGGTATAATTGAACTACAACCAACAGCACATACTTGCATCATTTGATCAGTTTTATGTGTACCTGTGAAACCATCGCCACAGTCATGATGATGAATATCTACATTACCCCCAAATGTTTCTTGTTCCTGCCCCCAGGCAACCCCTGATCTGTGTTTGTCACTAAAGATTAGTTTGTATTTTCCAGAGTTTTATATAAATGGAATCATACGGTGTGTGCTCTCTTTTGATCAGGCCTCTTTCACTCAGCATAATTATTTCGAGGTTTATCCATGTTGTAGCATGTTCATTCCTTTTTATTACTGGGTAGAATCCAGGGTATAGCTATACCAAAGTCTTGTTTATTCACCAGTTGATGGACATTTGAGTTATTTCCAGTTTTTGCCTACTACAAATAAGCCTGCTATAAAATTCATGTAGAAGTTTTTATATAAACATATGCTTTAGTGCTTCTAATTTAATCCTTTACTTTATAGCTGGAATACTACAAGCAAGGAAAAACAGAAGAGTTTGTAAAGTTATTAGAAGCAGCTCGTATCGATGGCAATTTAGACTATAGAGATCATGAAAAAGACCAGATGACATGCTTGGATACATTGGCAGCCTACTATGTACAACAGGCTCGGAAGGAAAAGAATAAAGACAATAAGAAAGATCTTATTACACAAGCAACCCTATTGTATACAATGGCTGATAAAATTATTATGTATGATCAGGTAAAATAAATCACATTTCTTTGAATTTATGAAAGGGAGAAAAACGTAACACATGAAAGAAAAATGTGTGTGATAGACAATAAGATTTTTTTTAAAAGAATTTTCTTAATGTGATTGTTCAAGAAAAAAGAATTCCTCATTAAAATGAGCATTTCTTTGGTGCTTCTACTATTTAATATATAAAATGTGCTGAATCAGTAATGCCAACATCTCCAGGTGTATGAAGCAGATTTTAAGTAATTTGAACTTTTCTTCTTGTCGTTGTTACTGGCACAGAAGGATGTGCATTTCAGGATAGTTTCTCAAATTGTAATTAAGAATTGCTTATTGGTAGTTTAAACACATTACAGTTGCTAGAGGAATTTGTATGATGCTCCACCTCATTCCTATATGGTTTTCATGTTAGTGTTACACATTCTTATTAAATTGTGGTTATTCCTTGGTAAACGAAAGTCTTGGTAAAGGTGATATATGACTTTTCAGAATCATTTATTGGGAAGAGCCTGTTTCTGCCTACTTGAAGGTGACAAAATGGATCAAGCTGATGCACAGTTTCATTTTGTACTCAATCAGTCTCCAAATAATATTCCCGCCCTTCTTGGTAAGCGATCTTCAGTAACCTTTCTAGGACTCTTTTTTATTTTCTTTTTTTCAGCGTATGCCTAGAATAAATCTCTTTGTAGGCATCTTAGAAACTAGGCCTAACAGCAAAGTAGAAGAGCTTTGTCTTTTTAAAAATGAAATAATCTACAACAATGTATTGTTTCTGTTGAAATTATAGAAATAAACTATATACCAATTAACAAGAATTTGCTACTTTTTTCTGGAGATATAAAACTATTTAGAGGGAAGGGAACACCACAAAAATAAATAAATAGGTAAAACTATTTGGATAACTCCAAGCTATTTCAATTATTATTTCATAGATACATAAATACTACTGTTCTATTTATAAGCATAAATTAACATACCCTTATGATAAACAAGGGAGCTCTGGTAGTGTAGTGCCTAAGGCACTTGACTGCTAACCAGAAGGCTGGCCGTCCAAACCCACTAGCCACTCCTCGGAAGGAAGGTTGGGCAATCTACTTCTGTAGTGATACTCCCTTGGAAACTCGAGGGGTCGCTATGAGTCGGTTCGACTCGACAGCACATAACAACAACAACATGATAAACAGAGTTCTAGTGTCACAATGGTTAAGGCATTCAGCTGCCAACTAAAAGGTCAGCGGTTTGAACCCACCAGCCACTCTGCAGGAGAAAGATGAGGCATTCTGCTTCTGTAAAGATTTATAGCCCTAGAATCCGTATGGGTTCACTAGGAGTTGGAATCAACTCAATGGCAGTGGGTTTGGTTTGGGTTATGATAAACAAGTTTTGATAATGAAATCATGTCACTATTTTTAGGTATTTAGGTAATTTAGTATAAAGCATATTGGATTTGTGTTCTTTAATTAGTTTGTGCTTGTCTTTTTATTAAAAAATAATTACATTTATTAAAAATCATTACAGGTAAAGCTTGCATTTCATTCAACAAGAAGGATTACAGAGGAGCTCTTGCTTACTATAAGAAAGCATTGCGTACTAACCCAGGATGTCCAGGTAAAGGAAAAATTTTATTTTGGGTCTAACTGTGTATGACTCAACTTAAGATATTGATGATTTGACAGTTGCTTATGACCTTCTGGGTTGAGACAGACTGCAGTGTTGGGGGGGAGGGGACAAGGACAGAAGTAGGGAGACCAACTAGAAGGCTATTGCAGTCATGCAGGTTAGAGGTGATTGTGGCTTAGACTAGGGTGGTAATAATGGAAGTGATAAAAAGGCAGATTCTGAATATATTTTGAAGGGTGTGCTGATGGATTGGATGTAGTGTGTCAGACAAAAAGAAGAATCAAAAGTAACTCCTTCGTATAAGCAGTTTAGAGAGAAGTTGTATTTTATTACATTTAGAAAATGGTGTAAGAGAAACTTGCTTTAGATGTGAATAATTTGAAATGCCTTTTAGACATACAAGTGGAGAGGTCAAGGAGGGCTAGAGTTCAGGGAAGGGGTATGGGCTAAAGTAAATAATCTGGAAATTATCAATATATGATCAATATATGAATGGTATGCAAAGCCAGGCGACTATGTGTAAGTTCTCCAAGGGAGTGAGTGTAGATAAAAAGCAGGTCCACACATGGAACCTGAGGCAACTCTGACTTTTAGAGGTTACCGATGTGAGGAATCAGCAAAGAAGTCAGAGAAGGAACAGCCAGAGGTATAGAAGAAAAACAGTGTAAATGCAGTATCCTTGACACCAAATATCAGATGGTTCCAGAAGAAGAGAGTGACCAATAGTGTCAAATTTTATTAGGCCAAAGAGGGACTGAGAATTGACCATTGGATTTAGCGACATAGAAAGAAATCATTAGTAATCTTGATAAAAAGCAGTTTTACTGGAGTGGTGCAGATGGTAGGCTCCTTGGAATGGATTCAAGAGAAATTGGAAGCAATAGCTGTAGACAGACCTCCCAAGGAGTTTTGCTATCAAGGGAAAAATACAGATGGGTTAGCAGCTGGAAAGGGAAATGGGATCAAGAGAAGATTTTTATTCCTCAAAGTGGGGAAATGTTTGTATGTGGATGAGAATGACCCAGTAGAGAAGGAAAATTTGATGATGAAGGAAAAAATAGGGGAGGGTTTTCTGGAGCGGTGTCCATGAAGAGATGTGAGAGGGAAGATCTAGCAACTAGCAAAAGGGTTTGCTTTTGCTAAGAACATGGTTGTGGTTTTTGGCATGGCCTTGAAATTGGGTTATAGTTACAAACAGAGCTCTGAAGGAATGACTGTGTGTGTATGTAATCCGTTGCAATATTTAGAGCCCTAATGGATTTTTTTGTTCTCTGTTTAAAATTTGGTCTTCAAAAATGAAATACTGAAGGTACAGTTTAACAGAGTGTTAGAAGGAAAAGTATTATAATTATTATTGTTATTTTAATAATGGTAATTATTGTAATGGTAATTATAAAAATTACCATTATTATAGGTGTTCTCTGATGAAGGAGCTTTAATGGCATAGTGGTTAAAGTATTCAACGGCTAACCAAAAGGTTGGTGGCTCGAACATTCCAGCCACTCTGTTGGAGAAAGATGAGGCAGTCTACTTCTGTAAAGATTCACAGCCTTGTAAACCCTATGGGGTGGTTCTACTCTGTCCTAAAGGGTCACGATGAGTTGGAATTGACTCAGTGGCAGTGAGTGTGGTTTCTTGGTTCTTTGGTGAAATGGGTATCTGTGATTGGGGTGGGGGATGGAGGGTGGTATAATTTAACCTTTAGTGAAACCAAATTTATGGTATAGTAAAAGATTTTATAGGGAGCTCTGGTGGCATAGTGCCTAAGGCATTTGACTGCTAACCAGAATACTGGAGGTTCAAACCCACCAGCCACTCCTCGGAAGGAAGGTTGGACAATCTACTTCTGTAGTGATACTGCCTCGGAAACCCAAGGAGGGGTCGCTATGAGTTGAGTCCAACTCCACGGTACATAACAACAACAACAACAAAAGATTTTATAGTGTAGTTGCAATGAGGTTAATTTAGGGCTGTTGTGACTCACAAATAGAGAAGTGTTAAACCTTGTAAATTGAATTTTAACCCCTAAAATGCTTGTTTGACAGATTGAATATCTGGTTTTATATTTTTAGCGGAAGTTCGTTTAGGGATGGGCCATTGCTTTGTGAAGCTTAATAAACTGGAGAAAGCACGTCTGGCATTCAGCAGAGCTCTGGAACTCAATTCCAAATGTGTAGGAGCATTGGTTGGGCTAGCTGTTCTAGAACTCAACAATAAAGAGGTATGTGAAAGAAAAAATTATGTAGTTCCTTACTAGTTTATAGGTCCCCAGTCCCTTAACTAAAACCCCTGGGGCCAAGTGTGTTTTAAGAAGTCAAGATTTCAAATGGATAACAACAACCAAAAATATGTAGTTACACAAATATATATATGTGTGGATGTGAATATGTGCGTACATGTGTGTATACAGATAGAGGTATATATAGACATATATGCATATGTGTGTGTGCATGCATGTACGTTCATATACATAATAAACCATATAGGGGACACAGTTATAGATACTTCTTACACATAACCAAGCACCTCAAAAGATTGGTTTTCCCAAAGACACATGAAAACAATTAGTCCAGGAGACTGGTAACCATGCAGTCCTCAGTCCAGCCACTTATTGGGGGATCTGTGTAGGAGATCCTGGATAGAGTGGGAGAACAATGTGGAACAAAACTCAGAATCATTTAAAAAAAAAAAAAAGGAACTAGGTTTGTTGGTGTGATAGAGCCTAGTGAAACCCCTGACTATGGCCCCTAGCTGCTCTTCAGGTCTGGCAAAAGACAGGCATATAAGCTGAACATTTACATTAGATAGATATATTTCTTAGAGAGATCAATCATGGGAGAATAGAAGGACTGCATATGCACAGGGAGCCAGCTCAGGGAGTGCATGAGAGGGAAGGACACAGGGAAGAGGTAACTATGGAGAGGAAGTAGGAAGAGAGCTATTGCATTGTGGGAAATTGCAGTCAATGTCATGAGACAGTGTATGTGCACTGATGTATGGAAAATGAATTTGCTTTGTAAACTTTGACCCAAATCACAATAAAAATTTTTAAAAAAATCAGATTCAAAAACTATCCACAGTGATCTTAAATGGCTATTAAAATATTCCTTTTTCAACTAAAAAAATTGGTTTTCTGAGTCTGAAGTCTTAGTTACATAGTCTCATGGGACAGCACAGTTAATTTGCATAATATAGTTCATAAAGTATACGTTCTCCATCCCAGTGTGGTCAGTAGTGTCTGGGGTCTTAAAAGCTTGCAAATGACCATCTAAGATACAACCATTGGTCTCAGTTCATCTGGAACAAAAGAGAAAGAAGGAAACCAAAGCCTCAGAATAGAAAATAGTACATAGGACTAATAGTTTACACGAACCATGGCCACATATATTCTGAGACCAGAAGAGCTAGATGGTTCCAGCTACCACTACTGACTGTTCTGATCAGGGCCACAATATATGGAATGGAAGAAAAATGTGGAACAGAACTAAAAGCCATACTTTTACTGAACCAGTTGAAGATTAGAGGTCTCCCCAAGACAGTTTGCCCTGAGATGGCCTTTAAACCTTAAACCAAAATTATCCTTGGGCTCACCTTTTAGCTAAATAACTGATTGGCTCATAAAATAAAAAATATCATCTGTGAGCAATAAGCTTCTTTAAAAAATCATCTATATGAGGCCAAATGGTCAAAAATTAAAGCAACCATGAGAAGGTAAGGGGACAGGGAAATGGGCACTATAAATAGTACAACCAGAATGGAAAAATGTAGCCAATATCACTGAATAGTTTGTGTAGAAATTATTAAGTGGGAACTTAATTTGTTGTGTAAACTTTCACCTTAATCATAATAAAATTTTTTTAAAAAGAAAAAAGATAATATGTGCATGTGCATAATAGATCATCCTAGTAGGGTCAGCACTCCAATGTCGAACTTGTATTTTTGTGGCAAGATGAGTGAATGTTCACACCAATTGGGATTACTTTACAATTCAATCACAATTTGTCACAAAATGAATTCACTTCAAGATTACAGAATAACCTTTGGAACTTTTTGGATTTCAGAATTTCAGGTAAGATATTATACACCTATATATTAGGGTGAAAGGTACCCTAGTGGCACAGTGGTTAAGCGCTCAGCTGCCAACCAAAAGGTTGGCAGTTTGAACCCAGCAGCCTCTTCCTGAGAGAAAAATGTGGCAGTCTGCTTCCATAAAGATTACAGCCTTGGAAACTCTATGGGGCAGTTCTTCTCTGTCTTACAGGGTTACTATGAGTTGGAATCAAACCCATGGCAATGGGTTATATGAGGTTGGCCTGCTGTTAAGTGCAAGTAATAAGAAACACTATGATGACTTAAGCCATAAGAATTTTTATTTACTAAACTAGACATCTACAGTCTCAGGTTTAATACCTCAGTGCCATCAAAGACCCAGGCTTTTGTATCTTTCTGTTCTCTGTTCCTTGATTTGTGGCCTTTCTTCCTCAGTCTGTCACATCACGGTTACAAGATAGCTGCTGCATCGCTAAGCAGCCCATTATTACATCAGCCTTACAAGTAGAAAGGGGAAGGGATGAAAGGCTTTCTCTTAGGAAGGTCTATCTTATATTGAAAAGGAAGCTCCCCATTATGCTTTTTATCAGTAATTTTCCGTGACTGGGATAACCAGAGTGTCTCAGCTACAGTATTATTAACATTTTGGGCTGGGTAACTCTGTTATGGGGAGCTATCCTATGTATTGTGGGATGTTGGCAGCATTGCTGACCTTTATGACTACTAAGAGCCAGTAGTAGTCTCATGGTTGTAATAACCAAAACTTAGATCCCTTTTTGAAAACCTGTCTTAGAGCAGTCTCCA